GTGACCTCATTTGGGAATAGGGTTATTGCAGATATAATTAGCTAAGACGAGGTCATACTGGAGTAGGGTGGGGCCTTTAATCCAGTATGACTGGCATTCTTATAAGAAGAGAAGACAGAGACAGAAACAAGGGAAAAGACAGCAATGTGATGATGGACGCAGAGACTGGATTGACGGATGAAGCTAATGAACACAAATGATCACCAGCAAATACCAGAAGCTACGAGGCAGGAAAGGATTCTCCCCTATAGGTTTCAGAATCGGCATGCCTCTGCCGACACCTTGATTTCAGATTTCTAAGCCTCCAGAACTGTGAGACGGTATGTTTCTGTTGCTTTCAGCCACCCAGTTCGTGGTGTTTTGTTATGGCAGCCCTAATATACCCCCTCTCAAGGACATTCCTTGATTCGCTGCCACTGTACCACACACTTTCAGCTGTGCCCTCTGGCAAAGTTCCTGTTCTCTTATGAATATCTGCTCAATAACCTTGACTTTTTCCTCAAGAACGCCTACCATCGCCTATCATGGAAAACTTCAAAGACTGACAGCCCTCCCATGGCCACAAACCCATCAAGAGAAGAGAAAAGAGAACACTCTGCCCTATTCTTAGCTTTCCCTTACTAAATCTAGCCCATTATTGCCAAGTCTTCATTTTTTTTCATTTATACTAATTTTATTTTTCCGGCTTTTTTGAGGTATAATTGACAAATAAAACTTGTATATATTTAAGGTGTACAACATGATGTTCTGATATATGTACACACTGTGAAATAATTACCCACAATCAAGGTACTTCACATCTCCAGCATCTCACATAGTTGTGTGTGTGTGTGTGTGTGTGTGTGTGTGTGTAGTGAGAACACTTGAGATCAACTCTTAGCAAATTTCAAGTATACAATACAGCATTCCTAACTACAGTTACCATTCTGTACATTAGATCTTCAGAATTTATTCATCCTGTTTAACTGAAAGTTTATTTCCTTTGGCTAACGTCTTCCCATTTCTCCTACCACCCCCCACCAGCTCCTAGCAACCACCATTCTACACTCTGCTTTCATGAGTTTGACTTTTTTAAATTCTACCTATAAGTGAGAGCACATATAAGTGACAGCATGCAGTATTTATCTTTCTGTGTCTGGTTTATTTCACTGAGCATAATGTCCTCCAGGTTCATCCATGTTGTCACAAGTGGCAGGATTTCCTTCTTTTTTAAGGCTAAATAATATCCCATTTTACATATATTTCCTTTATCCATTCATCCATCAACGGACACTCAGTATGTTTCCATATCTTGGTCATTGTAAATAATGCTACAATGAGCACAAGAGTGCAGATATCTCTTCAAGATATTGATTTCATTTTCTTTGGACATATACTTAGAAGTGGAATCACTGGATCATGTGGTAGCTCAATTTTTAATTTTTGAGGAAACTCCATATTTTCTTCCATAATGACTGTACCAATTTACACTCCTCTCAACTGTGTGCAAGCGTTCCCTTTCCTTTACATCCTCACGAATGCTTGTCATCCCATACCTTTATGTAAAGCTTCTCCCCAAGAGTGTATCGTCCACCCCCTTTAATTCACACTCTACTACATGCTCTATCTCAGCAATTACCCTTCCCACCTCAATTATCAATTTGAATGAGCTTCATATCTATAGCTCAATTCCTGCCTTGGCTTTAGATCAATGCTCTTTGCTGCTTTTCTCCACAAAGGCATGTACCAGTACTCACAGTTTCTTGGGTTCGTAACCAAACTATATGCTTCCCACCCCAAATCAACCTTTCCACTTCACTGTCTCTTTTCTACTCATGGCACTTGCATTTTCCCAATTGCCCAGGTTCAGAATTTCAAGCTTAATTTTTTTCTTACCTTCGAGCTCTAATTCCAATCAATTGCTAAATTCCAGAGACTCCAACTCCAAGTGCCTCTCAAGTCCGTTCCCTCTTCCACTTCTATTACCACTACCCCATGTGAGGCTAAGACTGATACTACAGAGGCCTCTCAACTGGTCTCCCCATCTTTCGCTTCTCATTAGCAAAGTCTTAAATACATAACCTAGTAGACCCCTCTCTCCTCGGTAGTTTCCTCCATTGTCCAGAAAATAAAGGATAAAATTACTATCCTATGAGGTAAAGTACTCACCTACGTGTCCTTGTCACAAAGCCTTCCAGTTTTGTCTTCCATACCTCACTACACAAACTATGATCCAGTCAAATTGTGCTATTTGTTGATCCCAAATATTTTTCTTTTGACTTCTTCAATAAAAATGCTATAGTCAAGGGGCTGAGATTATAACAGCTAGGATATCAAGGAGCTATTTGTCTTATTTTACCAAATAATTCCCATCCCTCTCTCCCTGAGAAGGATCCTGACCAGAGAAGAGACATCACTGGCATCTGTGTCCATGACCACCATTCACTCATAAACTTCGTTCTGCAAGACTCACCAAGGACACTTCCCCAAGTCTCAGATTTTGTTAAAATGAAAAACGTTCTAAACAAACTGTACAGGCATTGTATCATTAAATAGATTTTCCTTTCACTATCATTCCATTATGATCTGTCAGAATTAATCAGAGACAAAACATAGGAAGCCTCAATTTACACTGAAATTTCTTAGCAATCAACGTTCTTAAAGAGAGAAATCCTGAACAGAGTACAGGAAAATTTAGAAGAGTCGGGAAAATATACAATTTCATTAATAGGCAGACACTCCAAAAAATGAATGTATACATCTCCTTCTCAGTCAAGAGACTAAGATTTTTAAAAACACTAGTAACACAGTAACAGAGATGTCATCAACGTCGTAGTAAGAGGAGCAAATGTTATAGAACTAATGAATTTTCATTAGAGGCATCAGATCATTTCAGAATGGGTTAAGTTGCTACCCTATGCCATTCCCATTAATAACATTGTCATGTAAAAGCTTTCATTTTAAGCTATTTTTGTTCTGGATAAAATCTTTGTCATTAAAATGAGGGATGATTTTGATATTTAATATATTCCATGGCATACTCTAGTGTGGTACTAATTTGGCCTTTTCAGTATTCTGCATATTAATTGACAACCCAGCCCTCCTCCATTCCCCAGATAAGTGAGAACTGAAATAGAATGGAAAGCCAATCACGTCACAGAATACTGAAAGGATCAACAAAGAAGAAACAGGTTGCTCTATCAAGAGCATCCTACACAAGGCACTAAAATTATTTTCTCCCGTACTAATGACTAAGATAGAGACAGCAATAATTAATGGTACCGTCTGAATCCTTTTAGGTGACAATTACCTAAGAAGAGCAATGCTCCTTAAAAGTGAAAACAAAATATTTCTCTTTTAGTAAGAAGAGCAAAACTGCGATCTCACTTAACTTCTAGAACAATGCATTTTATCAGATGCTTCAACAATTGGCAAATCATGTCCTGTACTGAATTTTTCATAGTAATCTGTTTCGTGCACACAAAATGTGCCCTATAGTTGAGAATGTACAGGATCACTGCAGAAAACTTCTCATTTCAATACATACTCTATTAGTTTCCTTCTGTCGTTGAATTACCACTTTGGTGAGAACCACCATCAGCTGCTTAAATAATGCATTAACCCTGCTTTCAGGAGCTATTGTTTTCATTTGAGTGGGCATTTCTCCTAAGGATAAACTTGGGATTCTTTTCCAAGAAGGTAATGTAATTTACCCTCATTTAAAGTTCAACTGAATGTTTTGAATCATCTTTATAGCAGTAGTGATATAAATTAAAATTCCAAACAGCACAGATTATGGCATCATGGATATTTACAACAGGAATGAATAGTTGTCCCTTAAATAAATTAAGCCAATCTTTCCAACAAAACCAGGTCTTTTCTACATTTTCTGTAACAGCATAGCACTGGAACAAATGTTAAACACACCAAATATTATGTATAATAAGTTTCCATGTTCTGTTACATGCAGAAGAACAGATCGCAGGCATCTTCAAGTGTTTCAAGAGAAAACCTTATTCCAATAACTTTGTCTTTGCTAATTAGGGAATAAGCCCAAATCACTCCCATGGTCTTTTCCTGCATTGAAGCTTCTAAGAAAAACAATAAATTATCAATATAATTTCCTGCAAGTTCAAAATTACTCAAAAAGAGCTAAAGGGCACGTTAAATTTTCGACAAAACACTGTTATTACTTTTATAGAAAAATATGCAAATTTTATTCAGTAATTCTTAGTAAGAACAATAGCATTTGTTAAGTAATGGTAACATGTCTCCTTTCATCCACAAAGTTATACTGTTGGCCAGTCAGCAATAATATTTATGCCCTAAGTTGTTTTTGTTTTCTGGTTTTTCCACGTAGTGTAAGCCTCATGGTTAAATATACATGTAGTAAAATGCCTACAGAGATTTGGATGAGAACCTTGAAAAAACCCGGGACAGAGTTCACGGGCACCCTGTTTTAACCAAGTTTTCACATCTTGCCCTTAATCCCACTGTAAGCTTCAGATTTTGAGGTAAGAATAAAAATTCAAAAAGTGAAATATGAGAATAAGAATACTGCTTACGTATAGCCTTGGGGGCTATTTCAGTACTGTTTTAAGATGATCACCAGCCTTAATTCCCTCTAGTGTTGGATGTTAAATTCCACTGCCTTTTTTAAAAAATTTAATGACTTGCTAATGTAAACCTCCATCCCAAACAATCAAATAGTGTGTCATTTATTCAAATTTACAGTGGCTCTAATGTGCCAGCAAACTCCCTCGTCAAAACAGACAGCTTTAAAAAATGTTCGCCTGAGTCAGGAGCTCTAATTCCTAAATTAGCACCAAAGTGTCACCTTGATAGACCAAGAACAACAAAATCATTTATAATAAAACCAGCTTCCCCCTAGAGTGGACAGCCTGGGTCATGTATCTCTAGGAGCTCTAATTATCCCATACAGATCAGAGAGCTCTTGGGGGTGCTCAGACTTCTGCAACCTGTCGTCTCCAAATGCAATAATCCGATAAATATACGCTTACCAATCTCCCGCGAGATCTGAGTGAAGGCCTCCACGCCACTCTCTCCGTAGTTGCCCTCAGAAGCCAGTGTTGACACATAATTCCACCCCAGTGCCGTCACAATGTCCACCATGGCTTGCGCTTGGTAGGAGTCAGGGGGGACCACCCGAGAGAAGAAGTCATACCTGGTGTTATCACTTAGCTCTGGGGCTGTGGATGCATAGCTGATTTGAGGTATCTGCAAAACAAATGACAGGTCATTTCAACCCATGAGGAATGCTGTCAAGTGATGGATTGTCACACAAGAGACTAAATAGCCAAAGCTATACCAGAAACCTAGACAGATCAGCCTGCAGCCAAAATATGGTTTCATGACCACCAATTTAATTAGAACGTATTTTATAAGGGTCTGTGGACTCACTTTCTTTCAAAGCACATTTCTAAACAGTAAGAAAGAATTTAGTTTGGGTTCAGGTCCCATTGTTTCAGAAGCCAAAGCAAAGCATTTGTGCTTTTTGTTTTTGTTGCTTTTTTATTCTGTACATGATAAGTTCTGGTGTGGAAATGAGGCAGAAATGAACATGAAATGTATATACATGCTTCAGAAAAAGTCACCTCTGAAATCATCTTTGGCTTTAGGACATAAAGGCTACATAATAATGAACAGAGAATTTAACATGAGACTATTTTTATGCTTGATACCATTTCAGTCTTAAGATTATATTTTTGGTAAAGTATTTTAAATATATAGTTTTGCAAGTCTAGCCACTGCTTATTGATCTAATCACTGCATACCACAATAAGATTTGGGAATAGCTAACCATGTATCTTTTAATTATAGCATCTTTCCAGCCTTCCCACCCTCAAAAAAAAAAAAAAAAAATCACAAAACAGGAATCCATACCATAATTGCTTTAGGAAAAGAGACTATTTTCTGACATAAAAAGGGTGAATTGCTAGAAGATATTCAAAATTAGAGATCGTATGTCATTTCTCCTAAATAAATTCAAGCTGAGGAACAAATTAACTGCATGCCATAAATCTACCCCTAAAAATGTTTGAAATGCAATATTCACTCGTATAAACAAGTGAAGATTCTTACTCTACCAGTGAAAAGTGCTAGGATAGAAGAATACAGTGTTGTTAAAGAAGTATGGCAGAAGGACATGCAGGCTAGACGGAGCACAGAAGATGCAGGAAATCTGGCAAATAGGCCAGGAAGGACATTTCAGCCACACGAAACTGCATGTCCAAGGCCATAGAGTCAAGAAAGGGCATGGTGGGACTTCCCTGGCGGTCCAGTGGTTAAGACTTCGCCTTCCAATGCAGGGGGTGAGGGTTCAATCCCTGGTGGGAGAGCTAAGATCCCACATGCCTCGCAGCCAAAAAACCAAAACATAAAACAGAAGCAATATTGTAACAAATTCAATAAAGACTTTAAAAATGGTCCACATCAAAAAAAGAAAGGGCATGGTATGGTATTGCAGCATTTCATGTGGTGGGAATGCAGGATACCAAGGGAGGAATGTCAGGAAGTAAAATTGCAAAGCTAGACAGAAACCAGAGGATGAAGGGCTAGTCAGGTATGACAAGGAATGTGGATTTTATTACCAAGGCCATGGGGAAGCACAGCATGACTGCAACCAAGGAAATGAAATAATCAAATTTTTGTTTTAGAAAGATCACATTGGCAGCAGTGGGGAGAGTAGCAACCCTCAAATTTCAGTGTCCACCTGGGCAGCCCCATTCCCAAAGGTTCTGACTTAGTATGTCTAGAGATCTAGGAATCTTCATTTTAATATGCCCTCCAGAAGAATCTGATGCAGGTGGACCCACACTATGCTTAGAGATAAACTGAATTAAAGGGAAACCATACTAGATGCAGGACAACCAGTTAGAAAACTACTACAGAAATCTATGTAAGAAAGTATAAAAACTGAAGGAAGGCAGTGGCAGGTGGAAAAAAGGAAGGGTGTAGAACCTGTAAGTATCTAAAAGACAAGGAAAGGTGTAAGAAGAATGTGTAATGACTCTCAGTTCTATGGCTTCGGTATCTGAGTAGACGATGTTTGCTATTTACCAAGACAGAAAAACAAGAGGAGATTCTGGAAGACAAAAATGAGGTGTTCAATTTTTGATTTGTTTCTTTTGAGGATCCCGTGAGATGAATGAAAACAACTAAAAAGTGGGCAATAATATTGTGGGATCTGGAGTTTAAGAGATGTGCATCTCATTACTCCTCTGCTGCCTTGCTGTGTTGTGAAAGTTCAGAGGTCAAAATGATTCCACGATGCACTAACTCAGGTTGCTTGAAGATGCAGGTTTGACTTGTACATAAAACCATTAATTCTGCTCTCCATCAGATCCTGCAGCTAATGTCAGTGCTCTGATGTCAAAGAAGCTGCCGTTCCAGCTTCCCACACAGGGCTACACACTCTGGGATCCAACCATCACCCACCACTCCCTGGCCAGATGATTCCCAAGCCACAATGAGGTTTTGACTCTCCTCTTGACACCTTTATAAACCCTCAACATCTGTATCCAAACTTTTCTTAGGTCTAGAGAGTCCTACTCTGTATTGGTAGCCAGTGAAGTGACATTGAACATCCTGAGATATGAAAGCCTCCTTGCCCCGGGAAGAGAAGTAAAAGAATGTGCTTGGTGCTCTCCAGGGTGCTGCAGGATTTGTTCCGCTTCTGTGTAACGTGTGTCTATCTATATTGCCTACAAAAAAATGATTTAGCCTATTTCACACCCAATTCTTCTGGTAGGACCAAAATAACTTGCCTGTTAACATTGTGGGATCATGAAAACTAGACTTGACCTGCCTCCTTTTTGCCCTTTTGCTTTCTCTGCCAGATACACCAGCCATCTCTTGATAGACTGTCCCCTTGATTAGGCTTTGTGTCTTTGTAACAGATAACTACTTAGCAAGGACACCCATCCAAATCTCTAACCACACACCAAATCTTGAATTTTTTTACCTTTTCTTGCTTGCTTCTAGAGGACCTGGGAAAGAGACAATGGATGATTCAGTGAGGTCTACACTTTACTAGGTAAAACTTTCCCAAAGATCAAGAGCATGTTCATTTCCATGTTCTAATGAAAAAGATCCATGAGCCTAACCTTCACTTTGTTTGTTTGTTTGTTTTTTTGCGGTACGCGGGCTTCTCACTGTTGTGGCCTCTCCCGCTGCGGCGCACAGGCTCTGGATGCGCAGGCTCAGCGGCCATGGCTCACGGGCCCAGCCGCTCCACGGCACGTGAGATCTTCCCGGACCGGGGCACGAACCTGTGTCCCCTGCATCGGCAGGCGGACTCTCAACCACTGCGCCACTAGGGAAGCCCGTGACCTTCATTTTGGAAGGGATTGTGTGTGTGTGTGTGTGTGTGTGTGTGTGTGTGTGTGTGTGTGTACGAGGGGATGGGGAGCATTCTATAGCAAATTCTACGGCACCCTACCATTTCCTTGTCCTATTTGGATGTATAATAATCCTCCCACTTCCTCAGCTGCCCAGAGCCCAGCAGGAAAATGCCCTACACAGCCCCCACCCTGCCTATAATAATGAGCCACCCTTTTCTAAAAATGAGCACAAAGTGTGAAAATTTAGTGTTTGAAACCAAAACTAATTATCTCAAATTACTACCTTCAGTCAGTCACTTTCAGGGCTGTTTAATTAGCAGTCAGCAACATGTGTAGGATTAATTAAACAGGTGTAAAGTGTATATAAAATAAAAGTGCAGATAAGAAATGATTGTTTGAATAATTAGGTAAAGGACTTTCTCTGCAAAGTCTTGGAGAGTTTTCTCTTTGCGGATCAATGTGTGGAAAAGTAATGTGAGAGTATGTGTTTGTATTTTCATTTGTTCAGTTCTTGCTATGTCTCAGCCTACAATAATAGACGCCAGGGTATACTGAGCATATTTCAAGAGTTTTCAAATTGTCATGGAGTCGCATCTCATTTTTAGTTTATTGTGGTCGACCACTAAGCATTGGCTCATTCGGTATTTTAATTTCTGTGTTGGCATCCCCAATATTTCCACTACCCTCAAATTAAACCCCTACTGGCAACTAAAGTGGGATTTTTTTTTAA